AAAATAAATAGAAAAAAGTTCTTCAAATTGCGCGGTCTTAACGAGTAAGTTATACAGTCTAACAATACATAATCTGTGTAGTGACACAAATTAGCTCAACTGTTTGTTTCTTTCATGTGCACATATAAATAAAATTCGTAAATAATTAGAAAAACAACAACGGTACGACAAAAGAGAAATGCTAAATGACCCCAGTCTGTTATTTTTACGGTCAAGATTAGCTCTCAGCTGATATGACTACCGAGCAACCGATCAATCATTCATTTTTTTTCTTTCTTTAAACTATATAATTCAAGAGTTTTTGTTTTCTCGCATGTTCAGCGATTGATTAGAGGATCGTGTGGAGAACGAATGAGTGAAGAGTAAGGAGACTTTATAATGTTGAATAGCTAGACACTTCCAAAAAAGGTTTAACTTTAACTTCTGATTCACGATCAAAGGCGAGTAGATTATCACGACTAGTTGTAACTGCAATTTTTACCAAGACAGTAAAGAAATTTTTTTCACTGTCTGAAAACAAAACTTTTTGGGTTTTTAGCCTCTAAAGACAGAATATTCAGTTTTATGCTACTTTTTCTAAAAACTCTTTTATTTTTCCAAAAATCCAATATGGAATATCTTAATACATCATCTGAACCCTGTGTCGTTCACTATCGGTCTCTACGTCTATCCTCAAAGTAATGAAGTGCAAAAATGAAATAATTCTTCTGTTGACGATGGCAGTCTTAGGCTTTCTACTTTGGTACTGTAATATTCAGTTCAAATAAATAGTTTAGGGATCGCGAAATGAGGTGATGGTAGAACATTTTATCCGATTAATCAATTTAATGGATAACTGCGTAAAAAATATTTTGATTGTAGATAAGAGTATTGCGTTTAACATTTGCTTCCAATTATCTTGACAAATTGATTTTTTATCTCACGCCTCGTTGCTGTTACTGTTTTTTTTCCATCCTTCATTAAAAATGCTATATATAAAAAAAACAGCTAGCCAAGCATAGAAAATGTTCGCTCTGCGCCATGACATGTGTACAAAACCTAATTGATCTAACGGCCAAGGGATGCTCTTGCTACGACCTTAGACGTTTTCTTTCGGCAGTTAAATACACTGCAAAAGAATTGTAATCAATAATTATCCATTCAAAATAACTTTGAACACTGGCTTTTGAAAATACACTTAGAATACAGTAGTGATTTGATCTATTCAAATCACTATATTTAGTGTATTTAAGGCAAGGAAAAACTGCCGAAAGAAAACGTCTAAGAATCACGAAAGGAAGCCCTTTTTTTCTTGGCCGGTAGATCAAATCGTTGTATGCCATAACTTTGAGAAAGCAATCAGGTGGTTTTGTTTTCTGTACTCTACTGAACGCATAACAGTTGAGTTTATGTATTCTTGTTCTTTATTTTTTGAGACCCTTTGAACCGATCTGCTAATATATTCGTATTTTGATCTCAATGCCAAAGTTTTTCTAAGAGACTAAGGCTGTTTTATTCACGAAAAATGAGAGCCATCGAAGGTCCTCGACCTGTAATAACAATGACTCAAGCCAAACAAGGTCTTTAAGGTCACCATACAACACTGGTTACGTCATGTTGTTTATATCATGATGTATCACTCAAGTTGAAAGTGACTCATCGCCAGTTTGTTAAAAAAAACAAAGAGCTCAGAGCAAAACCAAAGCGTACGTTGTGATAAACTACTGATATTTTGGCTTTTGACCCATAATCATGGTGATAATAAACGAATATGTAACATGAAGCAAATGATATTTTCGTGTAAAATAGCAGAATTAAATTTGAAAAGGTTTATAAATAAAATAAAATAAATATCAATCGATTCTCTTCCAATTATAATGCGTCTTCTTCTCTTTCTAAAATCAAATATTATTGAGGTATGATCGTCTGGTGGTTTTTTGTATTTTTTCAATGAATTTTGGATTCGAATAACAATTTTGACGATGATGTTGAATTGTCAAGCGATGATAATATTTCTAGTTTAGATGGTTTTCTACAACAACGGATCAACAACCTCTTCAAATTATGATACTTCCAAAATCAACAGTTACTGCTACTCTCTGTTCATCATATAAGATTTAACAATTCTTTTAGGTTTGTCAACAAGGGTTATGCATCTAAGTAAGAAATATAGCACTGCGACAAAATGCATGTTTTGTTGCATCTGTCAGTTTTGTGCACTGTGGCGTAAATCAAGACAACGACAACACAGCAGCTAAAACGAGAGTAGACTGTCAAGAGCTATGTTAACCATCTATATCGCACAATTCTGTATCTGACTCAGAGCCCAAAACGAATCAGGATCTCCTGAATCGGTTCGATTCGATTCGGGCCAGTTCAATGAAAAATAAAAACTTTCTTCGCTTTTATTCATACATTTGTTTAAAATACACTATCTCGAGGTGGAACACTTGAGCATAACGTATCATTTATGTGGCTGGAACTTTGAAAGATGAAATAAAATTCTTTTTCAACCGCAGCTGAGTTACAAAGAATTGAAAAGATCTCAACATTAATGATCAAAAAATAAGTGAATGTCGGTTATGTGCAGGGATCTCAGATCCAAAACACGAAAATCAGAAAATAAAAGTCCAAAATCAGAAAAATCTGAGAAAAAAGGGTAAAAAATCAGAAAATCAGTAGACCTTAGGGGAAAAAAAAGTGCGAGGCAGAAAAAGTTCCAAAAATCAGAATTTTTCTGCCTGGTTATGTGGGACATCCATTCTGGTGCTCTCAACAATTCTATCTCTGAAAATGAATTTGATTGGATATCTTAATAACTCGGTAAAAGATATATGTTCCTAAATTTCAAAGGTGGAATTCGGTTCGGTTCGACCCAGCCAGATGTTTCAAAAATCAAATTCGGTTCGGTTCGGTTCGATGAACAGCTGAATCGAACCGAACCGAATGTCGAATCATTCGATTCGCTTCGGGCTCTGATTCGACTAAACTGTGTTAGTGTAAGCAAAAAGCTCAACTCACGAGGGAAAGATCCCAAGTTGCAAATCGTTTTCTCAATGAAACTAAGTGGACTATATGCAATTGATGGCGCTGATCCAAGTATAAAGTTGCCCTCAGCTTTTGCTGACCTGTTTTCTGAAAACTGGACCTTCGGAAAACCAGAGACCAAAAGAAAATTTTTCTGAATCAACCATTTTATAGAGGACATAAAACTGTCGATGTTCCATAAGTTTTAGTTTTTCAAAAGATCATTGAACGGTACTGTAATTTTTGCAAGGTATCCTACTGCAACGTTTTTCTATCAAAATCAGCGTAGCCACTTTTTGGGGAAATTTTCCTATGCTATTGATTTTTGTTTTGAAAAAGTAAAACTAATGGAATATCGACAGTTTTGTGTCGTCTAGAAAATAGCCGCTTTAGAAAAAAATTCTGGATTTGGTCCCCGGTTTTCTGAAGATGCGGTTTTCAGAAAACGGATCAGCCAAAGTCTAAAAGCAATTCCAATGTTTACATTTGGAATCAGCGTCATCAATTACATATAGTCCACTTAGTTTCCTTGAAAAAACGATTTGCAACTTCCTTCCTGATTCCTTCCCTCGTCAGATCTACATGTTTTCTCATCCTGTCATATTCAGATGAAATATTATTTTCTATTCCAGCCAATGAAACTTTCGATGGAGTAAATCAGATCGACCTTGGTATATAGACGAAACACATATTTTAGCTAGTAGCTCAGGAACTTAAAGTATCCCTAAAAACAGTCGTTATTTACTTTCAAGCAATGAGTGCTATTAATGGAAGAAATCATGACCTGTGTGTACTGCAGTTGAACTTTATTGAAGGTCTAGAATACTTTTATTCAGCTTGTGCACTAGTCTAAACATACTTTAGACTTTATAATATCTGTTATGGTTTACTACTTTCAATAAATTTGATTAATCGATACTAGTTACGCTTCCAGTACTCTTATGTTATTAAATGTTAGATCATCTTAACTCATTAAGACCGGTAGCATATGTTTAGGACACATATTTTGTAAAATCAATACGTCCAGCTCATGAAGTTTTTCTATCGGTTGAGACCATGTTCAAACACACGTGTAAACGACAAAATAACAGAAACGCGTTCAGTCGATGCCTGAAGCGCGATTTTTAGCTGTTTAATCGATATACGAAAAGCGTTTCAAGCATCGATTGAACTCGTTTCTGTTACTTCGTCGTTTGTACGCGTTTGGACACCGTTTCAATTGATAAAAAAACCTCATGGGAGTTATGTGCGCCGAACAATTATATGATATTAGTTTAACCACGGACAGTTGTTCTGAACAAATACATAACTGTTTTACTGAATTAAGAAGCGTATTGTAATTGAAAACACTTTTAAGAATAAGAATTATGATCCATTATTTTGTCAAAATCTGTAGTAAAACTTTCAACGCTCACGTAACATTACAAGCATGCATTTTTTATGCGTTTTTTTTTTTGTAGAAGTCAAAAATTTCATAGAATAACATAGAGAATCTCATTGTTTTATGGCAATTAATGTATAAAATATTATGCAGCAATAAATCCTTTGGTATTCGATCGCAAAAAAGTGCTCAGTACTTTCTTGCTAGCTTCCCCAATCCTCACCTCACCGACGTCACCTCCTAGGTACTTTCATTAAAAATGTCTCTACAAAATGACTGTGACCTAGAGTTTTTGATGGTACAAGAATTTCATTAAAAATTTTAATGAACGACTTTTTAATGTAAGCTTTTTTCATGAAAATTTTTTTAGTGAAATTCCGATATCCCCTCCGTAGTAGTGTGAAATTGATAAAAAGAAATTTTGTGCAAGCAATAATAGATAAAATAACAACACCTTTTTCAATTATTCGAGGAATGTACATCCTCCCGTTATTTGCGGCCCTGATTCGAGCACATGAACTTAACTTTGCACAAACTGCAAAACTAAATTCAATGATCTGTGTCTATATTCTGTACAATGATTGAAGTTGTGCAGTCGACTCGATATTTAGTGTTATCGATCAATAATTGTCAAATCTGAGTACACATTAATGTTTGTCGTAGTTTCCACATCAGGTAACGTGTTCTGGAATTCTAGTGGTGTATATATTGGGGCATTTGTACTTCTATTATTACTGCTGGATTTGTGATCAATACAGCAATGTATGTAAAATGTAGCTAATACAATCGTAGAACGATAAAGAAAATCGAATAATAAACCAAAATTTTCTTCAACAAGACTATCTCCTGAAGCGTAGGAGAATACACTAAAAAATGCTAATGCTTGACTTGAACGACCATTATTTTTTGTATTGGTTATAATATTAATTATAAATCTTACGCTGAATATCGCCAAAAGAACTGAGCAGGATATCATAATTACTCTTGTTTTAAGCTGCCATAGACCGTATATGATGGCTATAACAAATGATATTATTAATAAACTGCCAAGGATACCCATTGTAAGCGAAAAAAAAATTGTATGAGATATGGGATCGTCACCCATTGTATAAGGGACACGATCTAACCGAGAATAATGTAAATGAAAGGAAAATTGTTTTAAATCATAGACAGCAGCCAGTACCAGAAAAATATAAAAGATTGTCAAGATAACTCGAAAACATAATACTTTTTCTTGTTTTGTCGTGGCCATTTTAGAAAAGATAAATTCTTGAACTCTATAACAGAAAACAACTTTATAAAAATTTTGTATATTCTCTATCATCAGATAGTTACACAGAATGAGATTTATAAGTTAAGTATTACTTAGTCAATAAAAGCCACGAGATAAGCATCAATCAAGTACCTTACCCAACGCAATTTTTGTAATGAAAACAAATAAAAGAAATGCTCCTCACTTTGAGAATCAGTGTTTAATTAAAAAGAAACCATGACAAAATAGCTCATTAATGAACCTCAAACTCTTGCACCGCGTTGAAAAAAAACCGTATCTAACACAAATAGTAAAAAAATCGGTTCTTCTTTGTTGAACATTAAAAAGGCTCATTTTTTTTCTTTTTATTTTCAGAACGCATAGTAATAGAATATTTTTTTCTTTCCATTATATTCTCTTCTTTGGCGTTTTCAAACTGATCATTGCTATAAGTGTAAGCATTCATTTGATTATTATTTACTGCAGATGCCATCGAATTAATAATGAAAAATGCACACAGAAGAATCAAAATATTAACATTTGGACATTTCACAGTAATATTTTCAATTGGGTTTCTTTATGCACTAAAGTAAAAAGGAGAAGAGGGGATTTCTATAGAAAAACCCCTACTGTTTTTGATTAATTTGTATTACTCTCTAAAAAATAAAGGTATTATAAAATACGAAAAATGGTATAACCATTTGAAACATATCATAACTGTTTAAACGTTTTTTACTTTTATCAGAAAAACCCTTTGGCATTTTTAGAATATGAAAAAGCCGTGATTTAAAAAACCCTGAATTGATTTGGTATTTTAAAATACCTGAAAGGTTTTTTTGTGACATGAAGAAACCTCAACCGTTTTTCAGAACATAGTTTAGCCGTATTTTAGAAAACGAAAATTAGTTTTTTGATAAGAAGAAGAAACTTTTAAACAGTTACGATATGTTTCAAATGGTTAAACCCTTTAAACGTTTTTCACGGGTGGTTATACCTTTTTTTTGATTTTTCTCAAATGGAGAATACTTTTTAGGGTTTTTTGAAATACCTTTTTTTTTAGAGTGTAGTGGTGATAGCTGATCATATCCACATTTATTTTCACATGTTACTTTTGGTTCCTGCTTTCTTGTAGCCTGAGAAAAAAATTTTAAAAGTTGATTAGTCAAGAAAGCAAATTTTTCACTATCTTCGATTTTTTGTTACTTGCCAAACGTATACTAATTAATGTTATATACTAACAGATAAGAATTTCTTACAGGCTACAAAACTGTGTTTTTACACAACAGAAGTTATTCAAATACCTTTCGATAGGCCTTAAAGAACTCTATAAATCTGTATTCTTTTCTTGAATTGTAGGGTACACAAAAAAGTTGAATTAAGATATTTAAGTACGTTTTTGACATATTATCGGTCAGATTCACTCAAAAAAATACCTCATCAACCCCAATGAAATAGAGCTCATGTAACCTCATATTATAGAGCTCAGCAAGCTGGATCGAATGGTGAAAACTGCAAGTCTCTAGCGTTGTTAGAAAAAAAGTTATAGTAATTTTATCCTCGCAGCGGAAAAATGCATTTTCGTCATTTTTCGGCGGATTTGGCTTAACTTGTAGAACGTCCGCTAACCACATTTTCGCTGACTATATGCCCTTAGTGTGCATTTCGAGTCCAAAGTGATATGCAAATTGTCACTGTGTACTCTCAATTTTTATCTTGCGTTTCTCTACGGAAAAAAACGAAAGAATTATTCTTCTCTTCGATCTTTTTTCTCGTTCTGTCTGTGGAAACTATATGTGCAATTCCTATGTGTTACAGGCGCACTGAACAAGCTGTTTTCAGTATGGAAAAACAGTCCAACGTGATATGCACATTCAGTGTATCCCGAGCACACTTTATTTTTTTACAGTGCACCCAATCCCCTCAGAGACAGAAATTTTGTTTTAGACACCCTAATATTCGGCTTCTATTTGTGGCTCTGGTTCGAATCTCTATTTTTTCATCCGCACCCTTATCCGTAGTCTCATGGGTGTGTGGAGAGAGCTAATGGTGTATTGACTGATGCATTAGGTAAATGGTTGACAACAACGGATTCGCTACATTAGTCGGAAAGTCTTGCACTGGTCGTTTATGGAATTAATACAAGAGTTGCAACTGCAAAAAAATGTACACCTCATAAGGTGGCGTTTGGACAAAAGCCAAGATGTGATCAAGAATTCTGGAAAATTGTACAAGAAAACAATATTGTAGATGAAGAACAATTGCCAACAGGTAGATGGTTTTTCGGATGATACAGTTTTGGCCAGTGGGCTTGTAGATCCAGATGGTACAACGAATTCCACAATTTTTATTGATGGTGAAACTTCTTCTGATGATACTATTTCACTTTCTCTTCTTGATCTATAATCAACATCAATTTGTAATGCTCCTATTCTTAATCCAATTTCTGTTGCAATTGCTTCTTCTTTGAATGATAATCTTATTTCTTTTGATTCACCTAAGTCACCTACAAGAGTTGTTTCTCAGCGTTTGCCACCATCAAGTCCAGTAATGACTTTTGTTAGACTGTATAACTTACTCGTTAAGACCGCGCAATTTGAAGAACTTTTTTCTATTTATTTTGTTTTGAATTTCACTCATTAAACTATTTCGCTGAATCAGACTTCGTCAAGAAAGATTACTGA